CTTGAGGAAGGGAGTTGTTCTGAGAGTCGTACAGCCGTTGTCTTCGTCGTGTGATTAGATCTTGGTTTGCTTCGGCAATTTCGGCCCGGGTTCGTATATTTCTCGTAGGTGGCATTGTAGTAAGAACTTCAACGAGTACCGTATTTCTATAATATATAGTTAGTAGTCTCTCTAAGTAAAGTAGCTGGTTTAAATATATACCGAAATGATTGATTTAGGCTGGCAAGCCTTTTAAACTTTATAGTAACTTGATAACTAATATGAAGGTTTGATTCAATCTTCATGAAAGGTGGGCATGAACCTGTCTTTATATGTTCGGTTCTCTTTCACAACTATCTCATACAACCAATATTAAATGTAACCAGTCTAATTAGATCGAAGAACTACAATCCGTATATATTCTTCCTTGAGTGGGAAGTGTGAGTATTTTGCTATAAGTGGAAATGATTCGTATAGTTTTTAAATACTGGTATAATTAATGAAATAGATAATATTATAACTTCAAAATATATAATAGTAAAACATCTTTTAATATATAAGTTTAAGTAGAAACTGGAATAGTGATTTGGACAATTAAGAAAATAATATACTAATTTAAGTATATATTAGAGTAGAAATAAGAGAATAAGAAAGCAAAAAACTTTATTTGAATAAAGAATAGAAGATAGATAATAATATTATAGAATATCATATGTGAAAAATATAAAGGAAGAAAATATTATGTATGAAAATGAATAATTATACAACAGACCATTAAAATTTAATTATTAATGAAAAAACTTTGAGTTAGGTTTTCGAGGCCGATTTGATCGTCGGGGTGGTCCATCGGAAGACTCTAATTGTAAAGAAGGAATATAGTCATGATCGGATATGACTTGAGAATGGAGGATTGGCGATTCTGGTTGGCTAGACGTAATTGGAGAGCAAACTTGAGGATTATTGGAAGAAATCGTTGGAGGAGTGTAAAGGCCATCATCATTCGCAGAACTGAAGGCTTGGGTATATGATCGCTTTGGTGGTGGAGAGAGATTATTATTGTGACCAATCAGTAAAGATGGAGAAAGAGGCTGGGGTGATGAAGAGGAAGTATCGCTTAAGGGATGAGACTTAGAGACTGAGTTTTGCTGTATGATGCGAGATTTAGATCGGGCAGTCCAGCCTTTTGGTTGAAGAGATTAGGTAGTGCCAGCTGCTAGTCCCTTCTTAGTCTGAGAGATATTATCGTGAGCAGTACCTGACATACTCGGCCTTTCAGACTTTGGTTGAGAACCAAATACAGAAAAGTCTTCAATACGACAACAGAGATATTGAAACCGAGTATCCTTATGTTTAAGTCTTCCAATTAGTCTTTCCTGAATTTGGACCAAATCATTAATATCAGGAATATTAAATCTTTGCCATCGGGGATGATCCTTTAAGAAACACCGAATTGTAAAGGACTTTCGGGCTCGTGATTCCCAATCATAAGACCCAGTCCTAATATCGAAACTTCTCCATCCTCTAGGTTCTAAAGAACTAGTAACTGATGAAGCTCTATGACTTTGCACAGTCTTTCCGACGATGAATATATTTGCTGGTACCATCGGTGGTGCATGACTATCGAACTCTGACTCAGTAGGATTCCCTGGAAATCTGCTTTATTAATTAGCTTAAATGGTAAAGCTTCTTTGAATAGAAAGCATTCATATCTGAGGAAATGAAAAATACTTTAACTTACTCGTTCACATTGCTTACTGTGATTTTTATACCAATACTTCCTCCAAAATCACAAAGTGATCCTGTACAAACTCCAACTGAGCCTTCAGTAGGCTCTGGAAGTAAGTCGCCAACATTGCATACCAATTGACATGGTAGTTCATCTATATCAACAATATCTTCAGATATAGAAAACTGAAAGTCCTTACAACTTAAAGAGGAAGTAAAAATCTTCCGAAAGTTAGATTTACTATTTCTTATAGTAAACTCGATCAAACAGGAAATATAAGCAGTATTATTATCACAATAGTTGAAAGACATGAAAGAAAAGTTGTAAAGGATATAGTTATAATAGAACTATTCAAGAGGGCTAAGAAATCTTTCAGAAAGAATAAATGTGTAAAAGGGAACAATCAAGAAATCTTATGAAAAGTGGTCATATGTGTATTAAGCTGTTAAAAGTTGGCTTGAAGTATCAACTGAACTTAGTATGTGATGATCGTAGGGATTATTGTTCTTTTATCCCTCTTCTTAAAGTAATATTATAATAATATTAACTTCATTGTAGATATATTTTCCTATTGTTATGACATCATTGACTTTAAATTAATAGTAATATTATGATATCATTTATCTTAGATCACGATTAACCATGATATTATGATATCATTGATCATGCCGGAGTGTTGGCTTATTTGTAATGTACAAAATACTATTAAGATACAATTATGCTCTTTTGAACT